TTCCAAATTTTTTAAGTCACCCAGCAGCTCTGAAGACTGAAATCATTTATTTTTGTGGACAATCATATCCTAACAATGAGTTAACTTTCCATACTTAGCACCTTCATCCCCTATGTATACATTTCTTGTTCAATATTCTTTCCAATTAATTATATTCTGGTGTAAACTCATTCTTCCCCTTCCAATTTTCTCTCTGTCTTAACTACATACAAGTTACCTTTCCCAAATGGTATAATTAAATACTTAAAAATAAAAATGTAGTCAAAATTCTGTCTTCATAAAAATGCCCAGAAACGGCATTCCTTTTAAGCCATAGCAATTACCCATCAGCCTTAAGGCCATCTAAATTTTAAAATCTTCAGGGAATAGCATGACAGGAGACTACTCCAAGTATGAGTTAAAGGCTCTTTTCACCATCCAGACTATGACTTCTTTGGGAATTTATTCTCCTAGTAGAGATGTACTATTCTCTTACAATTTGTTTAGGATAGATGTGTAAGTTCTCTTCAACAAGGGCTCTGGAATATCTTTTTTTTTTTTAAATGAAGACTGAATTCAACAGAAATTCAAACAGAAGCTTGAATTAAAGGGGTAATTTCAGATGTAGTGAAAAGCTGTAATGTCCATTCAAAGTAATGAAGGCACACAGCATTAATCTCCTAAAAAGATTCAAATGCTATGAGTAGAGCAATTCTATTTCTTAGTGGGAACAAATTAAGATGATTTCCCTTACAGAAATTGCCATAATTACAAGTAATTATCTTGTACTCTCTAAATTTACCACTATAGCACATTCTGCAAATATCATTCCCTTCAAATACTTTATTTGGAAATACAGGAAGGATTGTTGCTTTGTGAATTGTGCTACAGACCTCAAACTGATTGTTTAACTGTCCTACATAATATGTGTAGTAAAGAGATGACCTTCTGAAGTTGGAAGTGGTTGGAATTCCAAATTTATGATATTCTTATCATCAGGTAACTAATTTTACCCAAAGGAGTTCAAACAAATGAGAATGGCAAACATTCAAAGATAAACTTGAGTCAAATGTAGACTTATGCTTGAAACAATGAGGAGATTCATTCTGATAAGCATAGAGCAATCATGAAAAACATGTTAACAGCTGCTGTAGTATTTATAAAAATCCTTGCAGCGCCAAATAAAATCCCATCATTTGCAACCTACTCAGTTTTTCATTTTCCTTTAATAAGAAAGTGTGAGAAAAACCAGTTACTCACCAAGCATTAGGAAGAGAATAAGCATGTGAAACCCTAATTTAACCATCTTTGGGGCCAATTACCATCTGGATTTCAGCTGGCACTTGAAGTCTATTCTCCAGCCAAATTGGGATTCCTTACCATGTTGTAAAAACATGCTTAGAGCTTGCCTTTCCCTATATTATTCTCACTGCCTGGAATGGCCTCCCTGTCTTCATCTGGTAAAAATGAGTCCACCAAGTCTAGTTGAAATGCCACTCCACCATGCAGACTCTTTTGGTCTACTAATTCTTTTTTTTTTGTAATCCTCACTCGAGGACATTTTTGCATTTATCTTCAGATACAGCAGGAGGGAGAGAGAAAGAAACATCGATGTGAGAGAGACACATCGAGTGGCTGCCATCCACAAAACCCCAACCAGGGTGGGGACAAACTGCAACTGAGGTATGTGCCCTTAGCGGAGACAGAACCTAAGACTCTCTGGTCCGCAGGCCGACACTCTAACCGCTGAGCCAAACCAGCCAGGGCTGGTTTACTAATTCTTATCCCAAACTCCAAACCCTTCTCTTTCTTCCACCAACTCAGCTGTGACCTCTCTTTTTATTCACTCTCTCTGGTGATACTAACATATGCCACCTCATATTTCAGGTATAACTAATATTTCAAGGATATTTCAAGGATAACTAATCTTATCCTTCCTTGTAGAGGAAATGTATTGAATTCCTATTTGTATCCCCAACAACTTGTGTAAATGTTTAACAATTTTAATCATTTAAAAGATATTTGATTTTTAAAATTATTCCCTTTAGAAGCATATTATTGGAAACGTCTTTAAAATGAGTATAGGGTCCATTAAGAAATTATGTATATTTTAAATTCTGAACAAATATCTGGTTCTATTTAACCAAAATTTGTACATTTTATATTAGTGTTTAAAACTCATCCATGGTTGCCTGGCCAATATGGCACAGTGGTTAAGTGTCAACCCATGCACCAAGAGGTCACCGGTTCAATTCCCAGTCTGGGCACATCCCAGTTGTTGGCCCAATCCCCAGTGTGGGGCATGCAGGAGGTGGCCAATCGATGTTCTCTCTCATCGATGTTTCTCTCTCTCTCTCTCTCCCTCTCCCTCCCTCTCTTTCAAGTCAGAAAAGAGGAGAGGAGGGGAGGGGAGGGGAGGGGAGGGGAGGGGAGGGGAAGGGAGGGGAGGGGAGGGGAGGGGAGGGGAGGGGAGGGGAGGATGTAGGTGTTTTAAAAAAATAATAAAAAAATAAATAAAACTCATCCATGGTGATATATTATAACCTCTGTGCCTATTAATCTTTCCTGGTTTATTTGGTCAGTATAAATGTTCATTATATTTGTATATGTAATTATACACAGTCAATCATCTATAATTTAAGATCCTTTCTTTAACTGGTATCTATGAAAATTAAAATTTTTACATATGAATTTTAAACAAAAAGATAAATAAATCTACTGACTTTTCCACAATTTTATCAACTTATAAATGTCAGCAGTATATTCTATAGATTCATAATAATTTATAAATTAGCTTTAAGAATTTTATATTCTCATTTATTCTTAATCCAGTATGATGCAATGCAAAGATATATTATGGATACACTTTAAAAAATGTCAGAGAGTTCTGTTCAAATTGACACAGATAATTTACCCATAGTTACAATTGTTTACTGGAAACACTGGTTCCATACAGCTCAGTTCTCCTAAATTGTTTGCTTCATGACTACTACAAATAGGATAGCATTTACATGGTTTCACAAACAATTAGAACAGTGACAAGTACATCCTGATGACTTACTTAAAATGAGGTCTATTTCATATTTGTGTTAATCATCATAAACTGTTTACTTTTCAGATAAGTTATTCTATATTTATTAATCATAGTCATTTTTTCACCTTACTCTTGGTCCTTCTGCATCACCTATTCTGACCTAGAGCTGGTCCTCTCTTGAAATTATGATATATGATATCATATATGTGGTCAACATCTCTCTATTTCCACTGTCAACTATCTGTTTCTCTTGTTCCCCCAAAACATAGACCCCCTTAAGGCTGCTTCTTGGCTACTCAGGATCCTCATGAAAGTGATCCCACGCTCCACCTCAAACCAGGCCTCTCAGTGACTATGATTCTGGTGTTTCATATATCCCTCTTGACCAGCTACCTCAAGAGGTTATAAGACATTTCTGAATGTCTTACTGGGTGACAGAACAGCAAACAAATGTTACTATTATATTTGCATTTACCATGGATTTCTTAAGCATTAGCACAAAGGGATTTTAAGAAAATAAGTCACAAAAGATATGTCTGAAAGCAATTAGATTATTTGTATCTTTAAAATATACCATCTATATAATTATCTCTTTCTCTCTCTCACTCTCTCTCTCTGTCTCTCTTTTTTTATTTTTTACAAATAAGCCCAACACTAGATTCTGAACTCCTAGAGAAGTAGAAGCACTACAATGGATATGGCCCTCTTCTTAGAGTATTCAGGTCTAGGGCCAGCCTCTGAAGAGCTACATGCTTCTTCTAAAGGAACCACCTTACCCAACTGACAATCTGCTTCCTAATCTGTAAAATTAAATGCTTCTTCAGCTTCCTTTCATTTCTGAAATTGTTTTAATCATAGTATCATATATACTGTCTAGGAAAAGTCTGGGCTACAACTTTTGTTTAAAATAAATAACATCTGCCCTATCCGATTTGGCTCAGCAGTTAAAGCATCAGCCCGCAGACCAAAAAGTCTCGGGTTCGATTCCGGTCAAGGACACGTACCTCTGTTGCAGTTCGTCCCTGGCCCTGATCAGGGTCATGCGGGAGGTAACCAATCAATGTGTCTCTCTCACATCCATATTTCTCTCTCTCTCTCTCCCTCCCTCCCACTCTAACTAGAAAATAGAAAAACAACCTCGGGTGAGGATTTAAAATTAAATTAAATCAAATAAATAATACTTCTGTCACAAATAAGAATGTTTTGGCTCTGGCTGGTTTGGTTCGGCAGTTAGAGTGTCAGCCTGTGGACTAAAGTGTTGAAGGTTCAATCCCCAGTCAAGGGCACGTACCTGGGTTGCAGGTTCGATCCCTGGCTTCTGTCAGGGTTGTGCAAGAGGCAACGAATCGATGTGTCTCTCTCACATCAATCTTTCTCTCTCTCTCTCTACCCCTGTCCCTTCCTTCCACTCTATCTAAAAAAAAAAAAAAAGGAAAATATCCTCGGCTGAGGATTAACAAAAATAAATAAAAATCAAAATAATGTTTTGGTTAATTAATATATAACTAATTAATATTTAAATAAATCTTACACTCCTTGGTTGTTTCTTCTCAAAGACAATCACATATACTCCCTAGAGTATGCAATTCTACCTTTCACATATACCACTAATACTAGTCCCTTCCACACAGTATTTTGTTGCTTGTACATATTTAAACAAGTTATTGTGGGGAGGGGGAAAGCCAAGCTAGATACACCAAAGTAAAGTCGGAAAAGAGAAAACTACAGTGTTATTTATCAAATCATTCAGTCTCTGTGACTGCATCCTCAACTATATCTCTCAATAATCAATAGTATAATAAATACCTCACGTATAAAAAGGTCACTTAATTTAACCATCTCAACTATCTAAAACCCAGCCTCAAATCAGAAGGTACTTTTTTTTTTTTTTTTTTTAATCCCTAAGCAGTCAAAATGAAAGCCACAATTCACATTCTAAAGTTCATATATTCTTAAGAGAAACCCTCATTCAGTGTCTACTTACTTTCATTTCAGTTACAGCTATGGCTCAGTTAGTGACATATCTTACCCACCACAGAGAGGAAACATATAAAACAGAATTGCAAGAGGTAGGCGCATGACAGCAGCAATCCTTTGGGCAACATGTAAAGAAAAAGAAAAATTGTACAAAGAAGACATGAAAGTATTTTAAAAGAAACAAAAGGGCAATGTGAGGTCATTCCAGAATAACAAATAATCTTACATTCCTTAAAAGCTCCTATAATGTTGCTATATTATAGTGAAATAGAAAAATTCATGTTTGTGACAATAACCTTGAGTAATCAGGAGAAGTTTAAATCATGCTAAGTACCTTCTGTGCAAGAAGGCAGAAAATGTGTAATGTATTTTAGAAACTTTCACATAAAAAAATGGTTGAAATTTAACAAGGGCTGGCAGTTGAATTAAATTTGAGTTAACAGGAAATTCACAAGAATACCACAGGTAATTAAATATTAGTGTAGCAATTTTTCCATGGAAACCATGGTGACTATGGAATATTAAAATTCATAATTAATCCCTCAAACACATTGTAGTCTTAATTTCAATATTTATCACCACCATTCCTAACTCCCCAAATATTAATTGAACCATAGTGAATTTCTATTTTTGCAGGTAAAAAATGGTTATACATTAGCAATTTCACATGGTTCAACCTAATATCTTTACCAAAATTCTTAACAATAAAATAAAGTAATTTGCATTTTATCTTTTCATTCTCCAGCCCACACTGTCAGAAAAAAATAATTATTATTATTAAATAATAAGACCCAAAGTCCACCAAAACGATCATGGGTCCACCACCCCTGACTATGACATTTTCTTTTTACTCCTCAAAAACATAACAATCTCATTTATGCCTGAGACTCTCAACTCCACAAACAGTTCCAAAAAGATCTGCTAGATCTGGGCTTAAGCATAGAGTATTTCACAGATATCATAATTTAGCATGATCCTGAAAATGTGTCTATGCATTTCTGTTATGTTCATTTATAAATATTAAAAATATAAAATATGCTTAAGATGCTTAACAATTAATTATCAGAGCAATGAAATAACAATCCAGATAAATATAATAGACATTCAAGGTTTTTAGTTATATAAAAGAAGTCTATTTTCTGATTCAAAATATTTTTTTTATTTTCTTTAAGACAAAGAACACCTATATTGGATAAGTCAAAATAAGGAATAATTTACCCATTTTTTAAAAAGAAACTATTACTAATGTAATAAGTGTTGTTATGCCAATATAGGCTATAACAAAGTTATTGCATGATGTGCAACACAGTTTCCTTAGGGGTTTCTTCCTTCCCTACTCCCCACTATCACATTGCTAGCTTCAAGTCTAGGTATATTGCATGTTTGGGAGAATATTTATCCAAACACAATGTGTTCCCACATGACCTCCTGGCTCCCAACTCCATTTTGACCCTATTCCACATGTTAACTGCTCTCTAACTCAGAATTTCTTCAATGTCTGTCTCAGTCCTCTACCATGATGCAATTTTGAAATACTTCCTCTCACAAATTAAATAATGCTGGAAATATGGGTGCATTCATGAATGGACATTGGCTTACATAACCAGAAATAAGCGAAAGAAATTTCAGTCCTTTAAGAGTCCAAACTGAGAGACATCTACCACCAAAAAAACGTATGTGCAGCTTTGACAACTGCCATCAAACTTATTTCATGTACCTTTTCTAGAAATGCTAAGTTTATTACATAAAAGGTATAAACCAAAAGATAGTTTTATGTCTTTCCTTAAAATACATGCTAAAAGGACAGAATGTGCAAAATAACAAAGACAGAACATTAACAGGTTAAGTAACAGTGTACATAATTAAAGGACTCAATTATTGTAGATAAGAATACTTCTCTTAGCTACAAAAAATACTAAAAGGGGGGACTAACAAAGTTCAGGACAAAAGCTCATATAAACCTGAAAATGTCAGTTAAATTATATAATTTTTATAGCTTTCAAATAAAACTACATGGTTTTAGCACGTCAATAAAGCAAAAAGTCTTAAAGCTAAGACTTAATATTATCATTAATGATATGAATTCACTGTGGAAGCTGAAGCTGACAGAGATTTCAGGTTTTCTCTTGCTTCTGCTGTGTTTTCCAGAGCATGTCATCATCGTGACTGACTAGCAAAATGAAGGTGGCTGCTGGCTCCCTCTCTTGAAGTTGGGCTAATTAAACTCTGCAGCCTCTCACACAGGCAATACTTACTGGCTAGCTCCTGAACAGTAAGGGTGCCAAATCAAATTTCCTCGTCACTGACTTCCTTCGCTTCTTATCAAGTCTATCAACCATTCTCAGCTTCTCAAATATACCTGGAAGTAGTTTTCTATAGATGGCCATTCCCTACCAATTTTACAAAATAAAAAATATTTAGGAATGAAGAAAATAAAGATTTATTCCAGTTCTTTACAACCATGGTGTCGCTGCATTGCTGTCTCATGATAAGTTGTGAGATACATCAAAAATAACTATAATTTTTTCTACTATTTTTAATAGAGGTGAAGTTCATATAACATAAAATTAACCATTTAAAGTGTACAATCCAGTTGCATTTAGTACACCCACAATGTACAATCACCATCTCATAACTGTGACTTTTTAAAAACTTTATTATTATTTTTTTAATCCTCACCCAAGGATATTTTCTTTTCCATTTATCTTCAGATAGAGTAGGAGGGAGGGAGAGTAGGGAGGAGGGAGGGAGGGAGAGAAACATAGATGTGAGAGGGACACATCAACTAGTTGCCTCCCACATGACCCCAACCAGGGCTGGGGATGAACCACAACTAATGTAAGTGCCCTTAACTGGAATCAAACCCAAGACTCTTTGGTCTGCGGGCCGGCACTCTAACCACTGAGCAATTCAGCCAGGGCTGTGACTTTATTTTTTAATAGATGCACAGTTAATATTATCCCTATTACCCTTACTCATAGCTAATATGGTGTTCTAAAAGGATGAGAAACAGGCAGAGATAAGCTTGCAAGTTAGGCATTTCCAATAATTGACAAGTCAGAGAATCTTGCCAACTGGTTAAAGACCACTGTCCATAAATGCATTCACTCATTGAGTTCCTACTCTGTGCCTATCCTTCAAAACCTTACAATGGGCCCTGGTCGGTGTTGCTTAATGGTTAGAGTGCTAGCCAACACACTGTAGGGTTATGGGTTCAATTCCTGGTCAAGGGCACATACCTGGGTTGCAGGTTCAGCACATGTGGGAGGTAACCAATGAATGTGTCTCTCTTACATAACTGTTTCTCTCTCTCTCTCTCCCCTCCCCTCCCTCCAACCCTCCACTCTCTCTAAAAAAAAAAAAAAAAAAAAAATCAATGAAAAAAAAGACCTCAAGTGAGGGAGAAAAAAACACTTACAATGGTAGAGACAGACATACTAACAATTACAGTACAGGGCTATGACCATAGTCCATATAAATATGATCAAAGAAGGTGTAGCCAACTATGCCCACCAATTAGAGAATTCATACAGAGAAGGTTGAATTAGTTCTTAAGGCATAACCAGAGACAAAAGGAAGACAAGTAAAGTAAAGTATGAGGAGAATGTATTCTAGGCAAAAGAAGAAGTACATGCAAATACACAGAAGCCTTGGTGAACCATATCCAACTAGATTGTAGGGTACGATCATACCAACAGGAAAAATGTAGTAAGCACATTTATGTGCCAGGCACTCCTAGTAGTATTTTACATTATATCCTCAAAGTCACATTAAGAGCTAGGTGCCAGTAACAGTAAATAGATAAGACATCTGAAGTACAGAAAGGTTAAGTAACTTAGCTACACAGCTACTGAAAGGCTGAACTGGAATTCAAGCTCAGGCAGTCTACCTTCAGAGCCCATCCTTTTCATCACTATGTAACCTATGCTACATTCTTTTTTTCTCCTTCTTCTCTTTAATAAAATTAATCACTTAAGGCAAAACTTTAATGATAGAAACTGCATTATACCACAGAACACAGAAGGTAACATGAACAGTGAGTGGGCACCACTAAAAACTCCTTGTGGACTATAAACAAATGAGGACACAAGTGTCAAACTATCTTGATAGATTAGCAAAGCTTAATTTATTTCTTATTCTTTTATATTTAAAAATACATAAAAACAGAAGTTCTCATATTTCCCCCATAACCCAATCATTTTTTGTACAACCTCTAAGTCAAGGTGGACTTACCCATTTTGGAGACCTATACTAGCCAATGGAGAAACTTGGCAGGACTTGAAGAAGGTGAATAATGTGAGCAGATGTGTGTGTGTTTTTAACAATTACTCTAAAAGGAATAAAAAGGAGAGAAGAAAAAACAATTTAAAAAATGAGGAGGGGGGTAGAATCATTAGGATGCCATTTGCAATAGATCCAGCAAGTGATAAAAGTGATAATGAGGAGCTAAACTGTAACAGTGAGGAGTCAGACATGAAAGATTAAATGACATGCCCAAGGACACAAATCATGGGAACTGTCAGAACCAAAACCTAGGTCTCTAGCTGCACTAATCTGGGAATAGTATATACAATGTATTTGTAGAAAGACCTTTATCACAGGATTTCTAAGACTTCTTTGTAAAACTACTTTTGTCCACAATATTTGATTATTTTTAGGTCTAATTTTACACTATTAAACAAAATGTGGCCCAAAGTGAATAATTTAATAATACCAACTAGCACAGCATTCAGGCAGGTAACTAAGTAATTTAGTATAGCTGTATTAAAATATGAGACTTAAGCTTCCTAATCCAAAAAGAAAATACTTTATCACAGAGAAAGTGCAGGGATCTGAAATGCACTCTTTTGTAAAAGTAATAAGCTATTCCAAGACACAAATTTATAGAACAAAATCCTTATAAGTGAGCTTCCAAACAAGCTTTTTAAATGAAGCTCCATCAGAGAAGTCATTTAAGAAGCCAGATTCACATTATATTAATGTGACAAGTATAACAAGATAAATACATCATGATTCTAAAATTACATTATTAATGTAGCTTCTGTGACATATTCCTATTAATGATCTTTTATTATGTGTGAACAGTAAAATAACATTAGATAAGCAATAAAAAATCCAATCAGCAGCAGCTTTCCTGAAGGTTTTGACTGCAGTCTTACTTACACAGTGTTATCTGATACTAATCCCTGGATTTTAAAGAGCAGAAATCAATCACTTCAGAATTGTAAACAAACACATTGCTATGAGATGAGCATTTTAATTACTATCATTTCTGCAAATACAAGATAAAAATAACGTGCTGCATGATAACCTCTTAATGTAAAAACAGGGGAAAGTACATTTTGCCAGGCCAATAAGGTTATGTTAATTAAAGGATCATGACATGGATCAGGAGCCTGGAACCTGGTGGTATGTCTTAACAATCACTGTCATGGAAATTTTATGGAAAGTGTACCTGTCCACTCCCTCTCCGATGTTGTCTACAAAAGATTAGAAGTGAGTGCCCAAATATTCTGGTTTCTTTAATAATCCACTACGGTCTAGTATCTATGAATCAACTGAAATATTTTGAACCTTTTTACATATAAAGTTCATACCACTTCTTAGAATAAAGTCTAAAAATACAAGTTTTACAAAGTAATAGTGCTTATTTACTTTTACATCAAATAAATATTTATCGAGAAACTATAGTATCTTTGGTACCAAAAAAGAGGTGTGAGATATGGTTCCTATACTCAAGGAGCCTGAAGTATAATTGAGCAGCAGGATATATACATAGATATAAAGGTTACTATCAATAAAAGACCATCAGCCTAAAAGGGCATAGATTCTAAATGCTCCAAGAATTCAGAGGGAGATAAATCTGTGTGTTTCTTCAAGAAGAGGGGGAGGGAAGAAGAGTGTCTTGGTCCTGGTATCTAGAAATGAGGAAGCAAAGCTACAGCTGACCTTCATATACTAGGATCATCTCAGCTCTCATTCTTTATCTTTCTTGGATAAAGAGCCCTGGTCATCAAAATCCCCAAGTACGATGGTAAAGAACACATGTCCTGATGTAAATAAGGCCTGGTCTAATCTTAGCTCTGATGCTGCCATGCTATATGACTCTGAGTAAGTCATTTCACCTCTTCAAATCTATTTCCTTATAATCCCTACCACTTCATTAGATAGATATAGAGCAAGCAGAGATGCATACCATAGAGCAGGTGCATAAAAAATGGTACCTGCTAGTTGCATGATATTAAATTCCAATCTTACCAGGGCACAATCACAAGTACACAGAATCTTGCTATTAGGGGAATTACAGGGCTCTTGGTGGGAGGCCCACTGTGCTCCGGAAGACTGGGTCCTAAGCTCCTCACTTGTTCTTAAGGTGGAACACGATTAGTCATGTTCTGGTGGTTGCTTTGTGAAAATGTGGCAGATCCTAATTGAATCCTCCAGAGCCCACATTCTGAATTTTAGTATTTAGTTTAACCCAAAAGTAAACAGAGAAAAGCAGAGTGAAGAGCTCCCCTTCCCCTTCAATCACATACCCCAGCTGCATGCTCAGTTAGAAACAAAGAAACCTAGAACCTAAGGTCATTTTCTTACAATAAGACTAGAATGAACAAAAGCCAGCACAAGTAGAGGCTGACCGGGCACCATGATAGCAAGTTATCAACCAATCCTAGTCATGACGCCCAGCTATACAGACAAATGTTGCTTACAGCAGCATTCTGTGGATGATCTCCCTAGCTTTGTTAAAATCACATCAATTCAATCTCACTTTTCATCTGTAGTGTAAATGGTTTTTATGAAACAGTTTGGCAAAACACATGGCATGTGACTGTACTACTACAAATTTGGTAACAGACTCAGCCAGAAACCAAGGCAATGATATGACCATATGAGTATTCTTGCAAGAGTAAGAAAATAAACCGAATCTTTGTAAAGACTTACTAGTGCCCTACCAGAGTTTAATATTGAGTCAAGGAAGCTTCCATTTCCAATGTAGAAACAAGAATTGTTCCCAACAACATGGAGGGACCTAGGGAGTATTATGCTAAGTGAAATAAGCCAGTCAGAGAAAGACAAGTATTATATGATCTCACTTATGTGTGGAAGCTAATGAACAAAATAAACTGACAAACAAAATAGATCCAGAGACATGGAAGTAAGGAAAAGACTAATAAACCTCAGAGGGAAGGGGGGGGGGGGGGATAGGAAGAGATAAACCAAAGAACTTATATACATATATGCATAAATAGTACGGGGGGGTGGGGCACATCTATAATACTTTCAACAATAAATTTGTTTTTTAAAGAATTGTTCTCAAGCCCCCACCAAATAATCATATTTGATGGCTCAGCTTTTTTTTAAATCTTCTATGAACTTTGCAGGATTAGATCTGGATCCTTACAATATGATTTGGGATTATGAATACAGTGAATAAACACAACCTTCTGGTATAGCAATTTAAGCATCAGAGAGTGAGTAAATACTGCCGAGTGAATCCTAACACTTGAAACAGAATCTTCCAGAGTCCAGAAATCCACCTGACTGCCAAGAATAATACTTCCATGGTTCAAGCAATACCAGTACCCAGAGGGGTTTCCACAGACATAACCACATGAGTTACTGCATATTGGTTTAAAAAAAAAACAAAAAAAAACCCAGACATTTATGAATGTATAGTTTGCAGACATCTTAAAAGTACTCATAAATATGCAATTTACAAATATAGAAGAAATGGAGGGGTGGGGCTTCAGGAACACACAGCAGCTGTTTAAACTGCTTAATTATATGGTTTCTTCTATGGGTTTTCTTCATCCTAACTCTGGTTTCTCTGAGGATCTGGGGGAAAGATACATGGATCTCTTAACTAAAATAAATGAAAACATTTTCACTGAAAGAAGCTCTATGATGAAAACTAATACATGACAGATTCTTACTTCAGGATGAGGTAGAAATGACTTGTGTTAGAAATCAAAATTGTATCAATTAGATACCAAAGAAAACCTTTCAATTCACCAGGCTATATTGAAGCAGGGTTAGATTCCCTAGTAATAAAACAAATGCACAGTTTTCCTCTCATGCATTTCACATGATTTCTATTTCAGCTCTGATATAAAACATGGTATCACACATCATGCCACAAAGAAAGAGTCAGTTTAGCTAGTTCAAGTAAAACACTAGGCAGCTGCTAACAGAGACAGGTCTCTACTGGGGAAGGGCACAGCATGTTCAGTTCGCAATGTTTTCCTTCTGAAGAATGTCAATAAAAACCATGGCCAACTGAGGTATTGGGGGACAGGGGGAGGTCCTGCTGTGCAGTGAACCACTGGATTCATCTAACAGTTAGCGCCAGTCAGACAAGTTAGCAAAAGGGAGCCCTAGCCAAACCTACAGCCGCCAACAACTTGAAGAAAGCTGTCTTTCTCCACGAACGTCCTGGGGTAGGGACCAGTCCCACATTTAGAAACGTTATTTCTGGGACCAATAGCAATTTATTTTGATAGAACCACTGGATTTTTTTTTTTCTTGAGTTCTCAACAAAGGAGCCATATTAGGAAATAATCTTGCAAAAAGCAAGTGCCCCCTCCCCCTCTTCTCCACGATCGATGCACACACGCTGGTGCACGCTGACACGCAAAAGACACACACTCGTGCACAAAGGCCAGTGCGCTCACTCGCGCAGGCCCACACGATGGCCGGGGAGCCCCCAAAGCAGAAGGCCCTCCTGGGCTGGGCCCCAGGCGCTGAGGCAGGAGGCCCCGAAGCTCGGCTGCCCGGGAACCAGCTGCTGGGAGGTTTGTGCTGGGGATGCTCGCCCCCCAGCGGGGCCCTAGGGAAGCGGCTGCCAGCAGCTTGGAGCCTATTAACCCCTTGGGGAAGTAGGTGCTACAACACCCACCTGCAGTGACACTGGAATGTGTCAGGGGTACAGCCCCAAATGGCCCCCAGAGAATGGGGCGTTACCAAGTCTTTGACCCTGGCAGCTCTTGGCTGGCTCCTGCAAAGCTAATAATTATGTCCCTGATTCCACAGAGCATCTAAAGCCAACGGGTGTTTCTGAGCTGTCACCCCTGAGACTCAGTCCAGGCATACCGAGACGGAAAAACTTCAGCGGGCAGTGGACACAGATCAGACTTGGTAACTCATCCCTCAGGGGGTGTCACAAGTCCCTAAGGGGACAGAGCTGCTTGAACCAGCCAGCCCAGCAAACTACAGAAGGGGTAGAGGGACTCAAGGGCCACCACTCCCTGTCACCCTTCCCTGCATAGGGCATCAGGGCCCGTCCCCACTCTGGGACACTTACCTTCTTCCGGGGCTGCCATTTCATCATATTTGTACAGCCGATACGTGGAACATCAAGATGCTGGCTGGGGGCTGGGGGCAGATGCAGGGCAGCAGCGACTGCAAGTCATGCTGCCTCCCTCCCACCTCCTAATTCTTTCCCATATTCACTGCGAAGGGAAAAAGCCCAGGAGTGTCCAGTCTTTTCGCCTTCCGTTCAATGAAAAGTATCCCCAAACCACGAACACACTTCCCACTGGGCTAGGAAGTCCCAGCAGCCCGCATACTCCTGCCAGAGTG